CTGCGAGGCAGGAAGCCGTTATCTCCAGCGGGGAGCTGAGACATGCAGAGATGAAGGCCCTAAACCTCACAGGTATTTAGGCCGGGGGCTAAATAGAACAGGGGGGTCCAGAGGGCCATGGCCCCATCACTTTTTACCGGCCAGAAGGGTGAGCAGTCAGAGAGAGAGAGAGAGAGAGAGAGAGAGAGAGAGAGAGAGAGAGTGTGTGTGTGTGTGTGTGTGTGTGTGTGTGTGTGTGTGTGTGTGTGTGTGTGTGTGGGGAGAGGAGCACGTGGGGGGCAGCGTCTCAGCAGAAAGGGGCGGCACAGGGGCAGGGTCTCAGATGCCAGTAGGCCCCACCCGCTTTTAGGGAGTTCCACTCCTGATTTAGGCCCCGCTAATTTCTGTTGAAGTTAGACACCTAAATACTAGGGCCGTCGACCGATCGCAGTTAACTCACGCGATTAACTCAAAAAACTGAATCGCGATTAAAAAACTGAATCGCCCTGTTAAACAATAGAATGCCAATTGAAATGTATTAAATATTTTTGGATGTTTTTCAAATATATTGATTTCTATTACAACACAGAACACAAAGTGTACAGTGCTCACTTTATATTATTTTTATTACAAATATTTGCACTATAAAAATGATAAACAAAATAAATAGTATTTTTCAATTCACCTCATACAAGTACTGTAGTGCAATCTCTTTGTCCTGAAAGTGCAACTTACAAATGTCGATTTTTTTTTGTTACCTAACTGCACTCAAAAACAAAACAATGTAAAACTTCAGAGCCTGCAAGTCCACTCAGTCCTACTTCTTGTTCAGCCAATCGCTAAGACAAACAAGTTTGTTTACATTTGCAGGAGATAATGCTGCCTGCTTATTTGCAATGTCACCTGAAAGTGAGAACAGGCGTTCGCATGGCACTTTTGTAGCCAACTTTGCAAGGTATTTACGTGCCAGATATGCTAAATATTCGTATGCCCCTTCATGCTTCAGCCACCATTCCAGAGGACATGCTTCCATGCTGATGATGTTCGTTAAAAAAAATAGTGCGTTAATTAAATTTGTGACTGAACTCCTTGGGGAGAATTGTATGTCCCCTGTTCTGTTCTACCCGTGTTCTGCCATATATTTCATGTTATAGCAGTCTCGGATGATGACCCAGCACATGTTGTTTGATTTACGAACACTGTCACTGCAGATTTGACAAAACGCAAAGAAGGTACCAATGTGAGATTTCTAAAGATAGCTACAGCACTCCACCCAAGGTTTAAGAATCTCAAGTGCCGTCCAAAATCTGAGAGGGACAAGGTAGGGAGCATGCTTTCAGAAGTCTTAAAAGAGCAACACTCTGATGCGGAAACTACAGAACCCGAACCACCAAAACAAAAACAAAAAATCAACCTTCTGCTGGTGGCATCTGACTCAGATAATGAAAATGAACATGCGTCAGTCCGCACTGCTTTGGATCGTTATCGAGCAGAACTCGTCATCAGCACGGATGCATGTCCTCTGGAATGCTGGATGAAGCATGAAGGGACATATGAATCTTTAGCGCATCTGGCACGTAAATATCTTGCGACGCTGGTTACAACAGTGCCATGCGAACGCCTGTTCTCATTTTCAGGTGACACAGTAAACTAGAAGTGGGCACCATTATCTCCTGCAAATGTAACCAAACTTGTTTGTCTGGACGATTGGCTAAACAAGAAGTAGGACTGAGTGGACTTGTAGGCTCTAAAGTTTGATATTGCTTTATTTTTGAATGCAGTTATTTTTTTGTACATAATTCGACATTTGTAAGTTCAACTTTCATGATAAAGAGCTTGCACTACAGTAGTTGTATTAGGTGAATTGAAAAATACTATTTCTTTTGTTTTTTACAGTGCAAATATTTGTAATAAAAATAATATAAAGTGAGCACTGTACACTTTGTATTCTGTGTTGTAATTGAAATCAATATATTTGAAAATGTAGAAAACATCCAAAAATATTTAAATAAATGGTATTCTATTATTTAACAGTGTGATTAATCGTGATTAATTTTTTTAATCACTTGACAGCCCTACTTAATACCTTTGAGAAGCTGGCCTAAGTGATTTGCCCAAGGGCACCCACCCAGTGCCTGTGGTACAGGAACTGAATCTGGTTGCAGGCTCCTGGCCTGTCTCCCCCAGCTCAGGAAGGGCTGACCCCACATGCCCAAACTCTACTCAGCCCCTTTCTGTGGGGCACAGCAGGGCCACCCAGAGGATTCAGGGGGCCTGGGGCAAAGCAATTAAGGGGGCCCTTTCCATAAAAAAAAGTTGCAATACTATAGAATACTATATTCTCGTGGGGGCCCCTCCGGGGCCGGGGGCCTGGGGCAAATTGCCCCACTTGCACCCCCCCCCTCCGGGCAACCCTGGGGCACAGTTTGATTTAGCTGGGGATTGGTCCTGCTCTGAGCAGGGGGTTGGATTAGATGACCTCCTGAGGTCCCTTCCAATCCTGATAGTCTATGATTCTATGGTTCTTCAGACACCCGACTCATCAGGTAACAACTCCCACACTGTACGGACGCAGCTCTTCCTCCGGCCCTCAGCACAAAAACCCGCCCGCTTCCCACCGGAGATGCTCGCTGGCTTTTAGAGTCACTTGATCAAGCCCAGCTGGGAGGTGGCTGATCGGGCGCAGGCGAGACTGCACAGCGTATTGGAGTGGGCCTCCCAGCCCGGATCCGCAGACGGTGGGGCTCACGCTACTCCTCTAAACCCAGCCCTGCTCTGAAGTTGTGGCTCAGTCCGGTGGCTGGGCTCTAGGACCCTGCGAGGTGGGAAGGCCCCAGAGCTTGGGCTGCAGCCTGAGCGTCTACACCACAATTAAACAGCTGGCAGCGGCGGGTGTCTAATTGCAGTGTAGACGTAGCGGTAGCCAACTCACACAGGGGAGTCTGCGGCTGAGCAGGGAACTGAACCTACGCCTTCCCATTCCTCTCGGGGGGGCTTTGGCCAGGGCCCCAAGCGGCGTAGCAAACCCCAGCATGCTGGCTGGGCTCATACAGCAGCGAGAGTTGGGGCCCCAGGAGATTCTGGCAGCCTGACTCAGACGAGTTACTCAGGGTTTGCATCAGTCACATTCCACGAGCCGACCGGGATCATGACGTCCAGGGGCCGCGACGCAGCAGCCGGACGTGCCCGGGAGAGGATGCTTGAGCAAACAAAATGAAATCGACAGCTTAAAGGGACGCCCAGATGCATTAAACCCTCTGCCATCCGGAACTCCCTCTCGTCGGAGTTTGCTCCTGGAGTCCGCGGGGCCCAGATCCACAAAGGTATTTAGGCTCCTAACGTGCACTGAAATCAGGAGCCTAAACACCTCTGTAGATCTGCACACTGGTAAATGTCCCCTTAGATCCTTTATTCAAGCAAATCTTTGGGCTTTAACCAGCTCTAAGCCGCTTGTTATCTGCTTCTGTGACTGTCCACACAAGGGAAACTTTTCCCACCATGGCTGTGTGATTTGTATCAGGAATCTCATGAATTAGGGCCCTACCAATTTCACAGCCATGAAAAATGTGTCACGGCCCACGAAATAAGCCCTTCCCCGTGAAATCCGATCTCCCCCTTGCTGCTGGGAGCGCCCCTGCCAGGGGCACCTAACTGCTAGTCCTGGCCAGGCTCGGGAGGGTCAGGACTTGTCCTTCCCCTGCACAGCCGCTCTCGGTGGGGAGATCAGACCCACCTGCAGAGCCAACGCAGAAGTGAGGGTGGTACCTCCTCACCCTCACTTCTGCGCTGCAGCAGCCTCGGGGTGTCCGTGCTCGGGCATTCTGCCCCACCCCCACGGCTCCTGCTGGAGTTCAGGGTGCCCGTTTTTCCGGGGGCCTCCAAAATGGCCGGGGCCCTTGGACACTGGCCGGGACTAGCAGCTATGGGCTCCCAGCTGGGGGGAGATTGGCATCACCTCCACCTCCGGGAACCTCCTCCAGCTGCAGGAAGCTCCGCAGCTGCTGCCTTCAGAGCTGGGCTCAGCACAGAAGTGAGGGTGGCAATCCTACGACACTGCCCCCCCCCCCAACAGCTTTGTGACCCCCCCGCCATGATCCCCTTTTCAGTCGGGACCCCGAAAGTTACAACACCCTTCAGGTAAACATCTGAAATCAGGAAATTGACCAATTTTAAAGCCCTCTGGCCGTGAAATTCACCAAAATGTACCGTGAATTTGGTAGGACCCTACTTAAAGCCCCTGCTTCTGGAGTCATGGGATTAGGAGAGAATCTCAGCTGCTGCTTCTTTTTTAAGCAAGTTTCTGGCTCTCACAGCTGCAAACAGAAACTTGAAAATGTGAATCCCATTGGCTCCAAAACCAGAAGGTAAATAAAAAGAACCTCAAGATTACTGGTTTTATATTTTTAAATCTCATGATTTGGGGGGCGGCAGGGACCTGCCTCGCGATTCTTAAGCCACACTACTATTGTCTGCACCAATTCAGCAACAGCAAGTGAGGAGCTGAGAATCCAGGTTCCCATCCCATTTGAAGTATGGCATCAATGAAACCTGCTCCATACGGTACTGGACTAACAGGGGTCCTTAGCCTGTTAACCCTTCGGGGCTCGGGGAGCGACTTATTATTATTTGTATTATGGTAGCATCGAGAGGCGGCTGCTGAGATCAGGACCCCATCATGCTAGGCACGGTACACAGACATAGTGAGAGCCAGCCTCTGCCCTGAAAAACTTGCAAGCTAAATAGAAAAGAGAAACAAAGGAACAACAAGAAGCCCAGCAGTGACGAAGCTCTTCTCATGAATAGGTCTTAAAGTGCTTTAACAGAGGAGGTCAGTATCATTAACCCCACTTTACCGGTGGGGAAACTGAGGCAGGGAGGGGACTTGCCCAAAGTCACACAAGGAGCCAGGGACAGACCCCAGACCGCCTGAGGCAAACGCCTCTGTCTTACCCACAGGACCATCCTCCTTCTCCAAGTACAGCCCCTCCGCTGTACAGCTCCCGGCACCCAGACACATCTTGACGACGAGCAAATGCCTCCGAGCCTTACCCATTGACGAGGTCCATCCCAGAAGCGAAGAGGGAGATTTCTGCAAAGGTGAAAACAAAAAGACAGTAGGAAGCCGTAGCCCGGAGGCCAACGAAGAGGTTCACAGCAAAGTCAGCGTCCCGTGGGCTTCACTAAACTAACCACTAGGATACCGATCCAGCACGCTGCAGCTTCCTAGAGATACCGCAAGGCTCGGGGTTAGGACCGGAGAACACAGGAGCGGAATAGCGTTGAGTCTTGCTTTCTGTCTACGGCTCAACTACTCCAAGTCCTCTGAAATCCCCACACTCAGGGCCAGCTCCAAGCACCAGCTTACCAAGCAGGTGCTTGGGGCGGCCACTTCGGAGAGGGGCGGCGCGTCCAGCTGTTCGGCGGCAATTCGGCGGACAGTCCCTCACTCCTGCTCGGAGCGAAGGACCTCCCGCCGCATTGCCGCCGCAGATCACGATCGCGGCTTTTTTGTTTGTTTGGCTGCTTGGGGCGGCCAAAACCCTGGAGCCGGCCCTGCCCACACTTACTCGGATTGTCTTGAAATTTGCTGTGCCACCTCGGCGGGGAGGGGTAAGGCTCATGGTCCAGCTCTGGGGCTGTTTGAGTAAAGGGGTCTTGAGATACAGCCCCCTAGCACTAGCCATTTGCAAAATCGCCCGGCTCTGATCACTTTTTTTGTGCACCCGGAGGGCACGAATGAGAGGTTTAAGTATCGCCTCTCTCCCCATGCTGGCAGGGCAGCAGGCCCCACCGGGCAACCTCACCTCGGGGCTAAAGTTTTGGGGCGTTCCATTGATTTAGGAGGGAAACGGCAGCACAGCAGATGGCTCATGACAGATTCAGAGCCGGGCTGGTGCCCGAGGGCGAAGGCCCGTGGACATCATCACACTGCAAAGTCCCGGAAAGCTCCCCGCCGAAACCCGAGGCTGCGCCGGAGACGCACAGTTGCCTCAGGAAGGGGCGGCCCGCAAGGCCATGATCACAAAGCCGAGGGCCTGGTGGAAACACTCAGCGTGCTGGAGAGATCACCGAGCATCAGGGCCGCGGGACGGGACCCTCCCCGAGGGAAACGCTCTCGTCCTAGAGAGAAGTCGCTCCCCTCACAAAGGAGAGGGCACCAGTCAAAGGCTGATGTGCCCCTTGCCGCCTGCTTGGGCCTGGCTTTGGGCTGGCTCTCTGCCCCCAGCTGAGTCGCCCACCTTAGCAAGGGGATCAGGTGGGAAGCTGACCCAGGTCGCTTTGATCCGGCTTCCACCCACGGGGCAGGAGTCTGCCCTTTGCCTGGCAGCGGCTATCACCGCTGGGCGAGGCGTTCCCAGCCTTATAGCTGCACTCAATTGCTGGTGACAACACGGCCCAGTTCCTCTCCTCCCTGTCGGGCGAGAGCCTGGCTAGGGGGCAGGCATAGGCACCAACTCTGGGGGTGCTCAGGGGCTCACGCACCCCTGGGGCTGGCTGCCAATCAGCTCTTCAGCAGCCACCCCACCCGTCAGCTGTCGAGCGGGGCTGCCCCGCCACTGACCCCTCTCTGCCCCCTCCCCCGCCCCCAATGTCCTTAAGGCAGGAAGGGGCAGAAAGGAGTGAGCGGGGAGAGGCGCTCAGGGGAGGGGGGCTCAGGGAAGGGGCGGGGTTTTGGGGGGGGGGGGCAGTGTGGAACACCCACCAGCAAAACCAAAAGTCCTGTGGGCGCAGGGCTAAGGAAGAAAAGCCGGCTGGGATGGGGAAGGGTTTGTCCTAGGATTGCAGAGCGAGAGACACCCCCTGTTTCCCAACCCTCCCCCCAAGAAGGGAGGCTCGGCCAGGAAGGAAATCCAACAGGTCAAATGCCCTGGAGCAGGTCCTGGGGATTTCCTCTGGTCTCAGCTCTCTCCCTGGTGGCCAGTAGCCAGCACTGCTCGGGTGCCCAGATGTCCCAATTTTATAGGGACAGTCCTGACTTTTGGGTCTTTTTCATAGAATAGAATATCAGGGTTGGAAGGGACCTCAGGAGGTCATCTAGTCCAACTCCCTGCTCAAAGCAGGACCAATCCACAGACAGATTTTTGCCCCAGATCCCTAAATGACCCTCTCAAGGATTGAACTCACAACCCTGGGTTTAGCAGGCCAATGCTCAAACCACTGAGCTATCTTATGTTGGCTCCTATTACCCCCTGTCCCGATTTTTCACACTTGCTGTCTGGTCGCCCTAGGCACTGCCTGGTGGGGAATTTGGAGCCAAGGCGGCGGGAGGTACATGGCAGAACACCTGGCCCGTGCTCAGGGCTCTGCTGGCACTGCACAGCAGCAAGGGGGCGCCCCAAGCCTCTCTGGACGCCCCCCCCCCCCCCGCCAGCACTTGGGGTTGCCTGACAGGCTGGGGTCAGAGGAGCCAGGTGGAGGGGCCTTCCCTACTCACCATCCGCATCCGGGAAGCGGTCGATGCCGCTCAGGGAAACGCACTTGGAGAGGGCGCTGGAGGCGGGGTTCTGCCCGGTCCGATAGGCCTGCAAACTCCTGGCGTCTTCCTGGGGACAAGCGCAGGGATCAGTGCCAGGCAGCGCAGGGGTACGGCTGCCCCCGCTGCGCCAGGTGAGGGGGGTGGCTCGGGGCAACGGCTCAAAAACACAGCGGCGTGCCCACTGCTTCCCGCAGCACCCGCCCGTAGGAGGGCAGGGTCCCCGCCACACCCCCTCGCCAGCGGAACGGGGGTTCACGAACCCCTGGCTGGGACCCCCACTCACTGCTCCAAGGAGAGCTGGTTGGGGTTGCTGTGGGGAGGGGGTGAAGAATTTCGCCTCTCCAGACGCTCTTGCTTGGTCAGATCACTTCGCCCACCACTAAAATGCAGCCACCTCTGGGGTGGAACCCCACAGCAGCAGCAGCAAGAGAGTGAGACGATTCAAGAAGCAGCCTGTACACCTCCACTGTCGGGGGCTCCCCTCCCGTTCTCCGTTGCCCAGCCCCGCCATTCCCCATCACACCATCCCCATGGCACCTACAGGCGCTGCCTCCATGGCAGGTGACACCCGAAATGCACGTGGTGGATTTTTCGCTGCCTGTGGTGCACTGAGGTTTTGTTTTTCGGGGCAGAAATTAGTTGCCCTCCTCCCCCCACCCTTAGCTCTTTGCTTCTCTTCCCCCCGTCCCCTGTTCCTGTCCGCTGGAGAGGAGGAGAGGGAATCCAGTGCCAGGAGACCAGCAAGCATCCCAGAGATCAGCAGGACTCCAGCGTGGGAACCTTTACCTGGCACTGGGCCTAAGGACCCCGAGTTCCATTCCCAGATCTGCCACTGGCCCACCCAGGGCAAGTCACTGCCCTGCTCTGTGCCTCAGTTTCCCCTCCCACCCGTTTTCTGTTTAGGCTGTCAGCTCTTTGGAGCAGGGACTGTCTCTCACTAGTGTAGGTGAAGCACCTACCTCAGCAGGGGTCTGATCTAGGCCCTACCAAAAATGCAGAGAATAGTTGTAGGAAGAATTGGCCCAGGCTGGAATTTAGCCAGGAAACCAGGGGTTAAACACCCTGGATGTTTTTTAAAGCACTGTGGGACCTGCATCTGGCCCCAGCGTGATCACAGCTGGAATCCTGGGCCCCCTTCTGGTGTCCACAATTCCAGCAGGAGGCTGGCGAAGGCTCAGGGAAGAGGCACGAGCCGGATGAAAGGATCGGAGGACGCGTCCGAGAGGGGCACGCACAAGCGGCTCGATCTGTTTAGCGTCACAAAGGGAAGGTGAAGGGGTGACTGGATCCCAGGCCGTGAGTCTCTCCACCGGGAATTAACGAGCTCTTTGGTCTAGCAGAGGAAGGGGGAACGCGAGCCAATGGCTGGAAGCTGAAGCTAGACAGATCCAGACCGGAAACAAGGCGCAGATTTTTCACAGGGAAGGTAATTAACCATCGGAACAACTCCTCCGGGGTTGTAGTGGATTCTCCATCACTGGAGACTTTTCAATCAAGATTGGATGTTTGTATCGGAAATCTGCGCTAGTTCAAAGAGGAATTAACCCAGGGAAGTCCTATGGCCCGTGTTATGCAGCAGGTCGGACCCGCTGGGGGGGGGGGGGGGTGCTCCCTGTGAATGGGGGGGGCAATGGAGGGATAACGAGGGGAGCTACTGAGATGGGAGGTGCCCTGTGCTCCCCCCACGCTCTCAGTGGCTGGGACCCTGTGTGCCAAAGCCCCCTCCCCTCTACCCTGTCCTGTCCCCCCGGCCTGGGAGAGCCTGGAAGGAGGGACCAGGCTGGGCCGGGGAGTCCTAGCTGCCACTCAGAGTGATCCCAAACACCTTAGCGACCACTCCAGTCCCCCCTCGGCGTCCCACTCATCTCCGCCCCCCAGCACATGGGGGGGGGGGAGAGAAAAGGGGGAGGGGAACAAATCCAAGTCGCACTCTGGCAAAGCGGAACACACTGGTGGGTGGTGACGTAGAGATGACCCATGGCGGGCCTCGACCATGAATATTTCCATTGTGGGGCTGGGCGAAGCGGCCCGAGCTGCCCAGGGACTGCGGCAGGACGGCCATAGAGGGCAGGGCGCTGCCGTGAGGGGCCCACGTCCCGCTCTCCGGGGCTCCATTCCCTCTGGGGCTACCCTGCCCCGGCTCCTCAGCCCCCTGCCGGGCAGTCCCCCGGCTCTGCCCTCCTGGGTCCCAGCCGGTCCTGGAGACGGGAGCCCTGGCTGGAGGGACCCTGGGCTGAGGCGCAGCCCGGGAGCCCCGCTGCTTACCCCGACCCTGCCAGCGCCGGACCGGCTGGAGGTGAGGGGGGAGCGGACGGAGTCAGCACTGGTGGGGGGAAGCCCAGGGCTGGGGCGGCAGGGGGTGCGGGTGGGGTGGGATGGGGGGGAGAGTGAGCCCAGGGCTGGGGTGGCAGGGGGTGTGGGTGGGGGAGGGTACTGTTGGGGGGCGGGTGAGAGCCCAGGGCTGGGGTGGGGGGCAGCCAAAATTTTTTTTGCTTGGGGCGGCAAAAACCTAGAGCCAGCCCTGTCGCCAACGCTGCCGGCCGTTTCCCTTCCCCAGAAGAGAAACATCGCTTATCGAGGCTAACACGCCCCCAAACAGGAACTGTTCTGCCTTCCTCCTTCCACCGCGGGCTGACAAAGGGAGCCGCAGAGTCACGGTGAAAACAGATGAGAAGTGGAGCAGAGAGCGCTGGGCAGGGACAGGAGGGGTTGCCTGGCTGGCTTAGCTCATTGCGGAGTCTGCTTTGAACTTCCTCCTACTCTCCCAGACTGCACTGCAGGGCCATCTTATTTCTCTTCACCTCCCTGCCAGACCAGATTTGGTCCCTCCCAGCCGGCATCCATCCTCCCTCCACAGCGGATCGGATTCCTGTCCGGTCTCCCCACACCTTATATCAGAGACCACTGGCCCATCTGAGTCAGTATTCCTGCCTCTTATGGCCCGTTTTGGGTGCTTCAGAGCAAGGCAGCTGCCCCTGGGGATACAGCGGCGGCCAGGTCCGTAGTGATGCGCAAGCAGAGGGATAATTCCTTCCTGATCCGTCTCAGGTGCGGGACAAGGCCCTGAAGCATGAGAGCTGGGGTTGCATGATTGCTGCAAACATGCAGGTGCAGGTAGGCGAGATTTGGGGGAGGGAGAAGGGCACTGATCCTGTGAGGTGCAAAGCAATCTCGCTGAAGCCAATGGGAGCTGAGGACACTCAGCAGCTGGCAGGAGATAGTCAGCACCTTCCAGGATCTGGCCCTCCACCCCCTTCGGGCAAGTCCCCTGGGGCTCAAGGGAGGAAGGGGAGATGCATCCCCTACCTGAGCCCGCTCCAGGTCCTCCTCCTCCTCCTCGTCCTGCGAGAGCAGGGACTCCAGCCCGTCGTTGCTGCGGATGATGGGGGCCCGGCGGGGGTCCCTGCGGTGTCGGGAGAAGCCGTCCAACTGCCCCGCAGCGGAGTCGAGCTCCTCAGGGGCCAGGCCCTTCAAACTCACGCTGAAACAGACGAGGGAGAGCCAGGCTGAGAACTCCGAGGCCGGGGCCCAGAAACCTGCTAGCCGCCTCCCCACCCCCAACCCCAAATCCAAACCAACGCACACTGGGACTGCTTCATTCCCTCCACCGCAGCAGAGGGCGCCACGCATGCCCCCCCCCCCCCCCCCAAAACTCCCACGCCCCCCTCACGGTTCTGACAGCGACTCCCCTCCGAGACTGGGGGCAGGTCCTGAGCTCGGAGCACTAAGCTGCGGTGCAGGTCACGTCCCCACTCCGTGCCTCGGTTTCCCCCTTTTGCACCATGGGGATGAGGATGCCTTGCTGCCTCTGCAGCTAGGGTTAATCCGTCCCCAAGGGGGATTTAGTCGTAGATGCTTCACACCAGCATAGCGGGAGGTTTGACTCTCGCCGCTGGCTTCGAAATAAAAACCCACTCTTTTTCAGGGAGGTCACAACCAGCTGCATCTTGGATCATGCTGCTCTTTCCTTTCTCTTCCCCATAAAGAGGTCCAACAACCCCCCCCCCCCCCCCCCCGACTTTCAGCATGGGAAAGTTGAATCCTAATGCAAGTTTTGCAAACAGCATTGGATCCTCATAGCAACCCAGGGAAGCAGAGGCCAGGACAGAGCCCACGTCTCCAACACGCAGGTCGCTTGCCTTAACCACAGCCCCCCCCCCCCCCCCCCCCCCCCCCCTCAGCCCCTGCTAGCTCAGAGGCCAGTAGTGAAATGGACATAGAAATCATCCCCACAGAGCACACCTTACTCACCACAGCCTGCTGAACATGGTGCCTGGATGAACCCCTCCCTCGCCCCCGTCGCAATCTCCCCTTCCCCCTACTCCCCCAACGCCGGCACGTCTCTAGAATCGGGCTCTGGATCTCAGAGCCCGACTTCCTGCTCCGGCCTCCACGCTGTTTGCAGAAGTGGGCTGGTGGTTGGGGGTTGGTTATTTTTCATAGCTGCCTCTTTACAGCGGACGAAAAAGCCAATCATCAGCCTGAGCCGGCCACTCTCAGAAAGAGAAAAACCCCAACGCTCCCCTCGGAGCGAAAGAGGCTTTGCTTCAACCGGACACACGAAGGGGTCGTGGGGTGGGCGTAGCGGCAGGGTGAGTCAGAGGGGCCGGCTCCCCCATCACGCAAGCAGGGGGCACGGCTTCTGCTACGGACACTGGGGCTTGGATCTTGCCAGGCATGGCTTTACCGGGGAGCTGAAATACTGCGAAACAAAGGACCCGGTTCTCAGCGATGGCCTCTGTCTTTGCCACAGGCAGGTGGTTCACTGAGAGCGCAATTGCCTCAAGCTACCAGCAGGGGGAACCACCTGCCTACTTTGTGACAGACCGGAACACAGGACCGGAGGGGACCCCGGGTCCAGCCCGGGCTGTCACAGGCAGCCCTTCCGGCCATCCCCTTCAGAAACTGATCAAGCACCTCCTAAAGCGAGTTAGGTTGTTGCCTCTGCTACTGGGAGGCTGTCCCAGACCCTCTGTCCTCCCATGGTTGGAAAACCTTATAATTCCCCAGTGAAATTTACTCACAGCCGCTTCATCCCCCTTTGTTCTCATGCCAACATTTGTCCTTTAGCTCATCCCCCTCCCTGGGGTTCACCCCAGTGTCTTCACAGAGAGCCACCAGATCCCCTCGATCTCAGCCCTGGTTCTGCCACACTGAACAAGCCAGAGACTTTCCGCCCGTGGGGTCAGGTCCCCAGTCCCCTCGTGATCCCTTCTCGGCACTTCCCGCCATCTGAATTCACCTCTCTCGAACTCGACTGGCCAGAATTGTACACAGGATGCCCGACGACGTCTTACCAGCAGCTTGGCGCTAATACCTCCCTCTCTCTACTGGACATCCTAGGATGACAGTTGCCTTTTTCGAGGGAAAGGCCTGAACTGGATCCCGACCTGTTCAAATTCTAAACCCCGCTCCCCGGGAGCACGTCAGTCTCCCATCCAAGCCCTGACCCAGCCTGGCTCTGCTTAGCTAGCAAAACCAGCATCTCGGCTCAAGCCGGGCCAGCTGCCAAAGCAACGCTTTGTTCGTCGTCGCCATCAATCCCGGGGCCCGTTCGCTGGGCCGAGCTGCCGAGGGGCGATAAAAGGGAATCAAAGCCACTGAACAGAGGGGCAGCCAAGATCAGAAGTAACAGAGCTGCAGCCACCCTCGTCCCCACCAGCGACCCTGGGATCAGAGCCCACATCCCCAACCCCATCGGAGGCCAGTCTATGGGAGCCCGTCCACAGGGACGCCCACGCAATAGAGCTGCATGTACCAAGTAGGAAGGGGCCGACGGTTCATGGACAGAGGCGAGGACAGGAAGTGGGGAGGCGGCCACAGCAGGACAGAGCCATGGTCTATTATTATTTGGATTGGAGTCCTAGCCACGGACCAGGGCCCCACTGCGCAAGGTGCTGCACAGACACAGAACACGAACACTTAGCTCTGACACAGAGTTTTCCCTCAGTAGGTCGCAAAGCACTTTATAAAAGGAGGCCAGTATCATTTCACAGCTACAGAAACTGAGGCCCGGAGAGGGGCTGTGGTTTGCCCTGGAGCAGAGGGATGGGGAGCCCTCAGATTTTTATCCCAACTAGCATCACTGCGTGTGAGCCACAAGGTTTAAGCCTTTCAATGGTCTTGCCAAACTTTGTGCAGTCCTGTGGCAAGCAGTTCCACAGGTTAACATCCCCCTAGGTAGTATTGCTCGGCAGATAGTCGCAGCATGCTGCAGCAGCCAGTTCCATGGGTTAATATCTCACAGGCCTGTGGCAGTAAGTTAACCGCCTGCCCCCAAAATACCCTTCAGAAACAAGATCCAAAAGCCACACCCTTGCCCACATAACATTCTGCAATAGGTGTTAACACCCCATCTCCATCAGTAATACACCCCAGCAGCTAGACACACCCCAACCACCACCCTGCAGCGGCCAGTTCCAGGGGTTAACGCCCCCCCCATCACCATTAATGTGAAGCGGCAAGCACATTTCTGAGGCTCTGCGTTTGGTGCCAAGATGGCAGGCGTGGGGTGGGGGTTCCAGGCTTCCAGGCCATGGAAGGGAGAGAAGGTGCCATGGGCCAGGCTGGGTACCTCATTTGGTCGTAGTCCGGGTCACTCTGCAGCTTCTTGCCCGGCTCCCAGCTGTGGCGCCGGTAGGAGTCCCGTCCACGGAAGGAGGCCCTCGACATGCACGACCTCCGCAGCGGCACGCCCAGGAAACGGTCCTCCTCCTCCTCCTCCTCCATCTCCCAATCGGCCTCCGGGTCGCCACCGGGGCAGGAGCCCTGCTCCACAGCCGACATGCAGCGGCGTTTCTGGCCCCGGGCCTTGCAGGGGGCGCCGTCGCAGGCTCCTTGGCATTGCTCAGGGCTGTTCATCCTCAAGTGACGGGGACAGACGGACGCTGGGGGGAGGGGGAGGAGACAGACAGGACAGAGAGGTCAGGCCCAGGCTGAGTCAAGAAGCAACGTCACAGCGAGCAGGCTGGGGGTGGGTATGGAAGGGTAGGGGGTTCCTAACGGTGACTTGGAGTCACTCCCATCAGATGGCCACCAGATGGGGCCTGTCAGCTCCAGCCTAACCACTAGGCAACCCAGCCAGCTCAGCTGGGCCCAGTGAGCCCCCTCCACACGGTCCCTGCTCCAGTCCTCACGCCCAGTCCCGCTCCTGCTCCACTCCCGTCTGGTTTCTGACCCCCCGGCTATGACTCCGGCTCATCCCTTGACCCCTCAACCCTGACTCCAGCTTCACCCTGGGACCGGTGTCTGCTCCCTGCCCCTATGCTTGTCCTTACCCAAACTGCCCCCACAGCCCCCAGGCCAGGTCCCACTCCACTCACACCCCAGCAGTAACAGCTCCTACAGGAAACAAGTTGGTGGGTTCTCAGCTCTGCAGGCATCCGCAACCCCAAAGCCATCACCATAACTGGCACCGACCAGCCCCCTCGCTGCCAGAGGACTGGACAGGCCCCCAGAGTCCGAGCTGGCCTCCTGCCCCTACTCGGGGTGGACCCTGGGGATTATGGTGACCAGATTATCGAAGGCCAGGACCCTGGGTCACTCCTCACCCAGCAGGGGCCCGTCACCCCCTCCCCCCTAGACTTGTTCCAGAGCTGACCAAGTCCCCACCCCAGCCAGCCCGGGTGGTACCAGTGCCAGAGCTGCTGTCCGGGGCTCAGTGGCTTTGGTGGCACGGCTAATGGACACTGCTCGACCTGGGTGTAGGGGGAGGAGGAGCACGGGGAACTACTGAGCACGAAAGAGGGACAACTCAGTTGCCCATTTTAAGGCTCCAAATTTCCAGGCCACCACACGGGAAAAAACAGAACACGCTGGGACAGAACCAAGCTCGCTGGTCACGTCAGATCAGGGTGGGGGTACATCCACAGGGGGCAGCCTCTTTCCTGCCTTGCTATTGCCTGTGTAGCTGAGGACAAAGTTTGGTGGAAGTTCCCAGCCTGCTCCATTCCCCCCGGCAACACCAGACACACTGGATCTGGGAACTCCCCACTTTGCTGGTGTGTATTGCTTCCCCTCTCTCCCAGCCCCTAGTTCCAGCTGCCTGTTCAAGCTGATAGGACCCACCTGGGCTAACTCCAGGGTGAGTCAGCCAATACGGCGCTGCGGCTCTACGCAGGATTGTAGCGCCCAGTTACAACCCAGCTGTCAAGCCTTATCCTGCAATAGTTGGGGATGCTGATGGTTGCTACAGCTGATCCTGTGTCCCCTGACCAATCCATCCCCACACCGTCCCATCGTGCTCTCTTTATGAGCCCTTCCACGAAAGCAGCCGCCTTTCAAGTGGACATTAAAGCTTATTACAGCCATAAAGAGGAACTGCCCTTGTTGGCCATTTCCCCATGCTCCCTTCAACAGATCCATTCAGCGAGCACGTCGTAAACCACACCAGAGCCTCCCCCAAGGCACTGACCTACAGCTCAGAGGGTGATGCTGGGAGGAGACGAATCGGCCAAGAATCTGGGGCTCCAGCATCCGTGCTCCCCAATGGCTCTTGGCTGGGTCTCCCAAGACACAGCAGCTGGGCACTGGGTGGGGGGGGGGGTGAAGAGACCTTGATTCCCAGCAACTCCTTGCCAAGTGCTAAGGGAAAGCAAGTCTCCGCCCATCCCCAAACGGCAAAGCAATTAGCCAAGCGCCTGTGCGTCGTACTCACTCCCCATCACCACAGTATCCGAGCACCTCACCGTCTGTTACGTATTTATCCTCACAACCCTCCTGGGATGCAGGGCATTGCTGTTAGCCCCATTGTACAGCTGGGGAAACTGAGGCTCCATGAGGCTAAGTGAGCTACTCAAGGTCACATGGGGAGCTGCAGCAGAGCAGGATTTGAACCACTAGAGGGCTCACAGCAGAGCTGGGAACTCCTCAGGGATACCACCCAGTTGACACACACTCCTCCCTGCCTCTGCTTTGTGCAATCCCTCCATCCCGTCTCTCTCCTTCTGACCCCAAGAGACGACGGATGGTTTAACGAGTCTGTAGCCGCACTGGGTATTTCCTGCCCGAGACTTCGCCACTCCACGGACATGGCAGGGACAGAACTCAGCTCTTCTTGAGCTGACAGCGCCGGGCCCGCTGCCGCCTGAGCTAAAGGAGAACTGGTGGGTCAGCAGTATAGGGCTTAGGACACACAGAGCTGAGCAGGTCCCATTCCGGGCATGAATGCGGTGGCGACTCACCCCCCTTAACTGCTCATTGCAATGCCTCCTCCAGCCGGGGAGTTTGAACGGACGGCCTGAGCAGAGGCCCCCGGGGAGTCTTTCCATTGACTTCAACTTTGGATCAGGCCCTTCAAGGCACGGACCAGGTCAAGGTCTGGCTTCCTCTGGCCAGCTCCCTCCCTCCCTCTTAGGCAGATGGGGGGGGGGGCTCCAGGCGGATACATGGCTCAACAGGCAGCCGCCCCTCCGGCCAACCTGAGCAGCAGCCAGGGCGGTAAGAGGCGGGTAGGTCACCTAT